GGATATAGCAGACACTGTGTAAAGACTTTACATGGATAATGTTAGTTAATTTTCATATTTCTCTGACACGCTTATCACCATTGGCCTTATTTTTCAGATGAGATTCAGGACATTCATTAACATGCCTCTGTCCACGTAGGTAAGCGTGACGACAGGACTGGAGGCTAGTAGGCCGATTCCAGAGTCCACGCTTTGCACTTGTTTCCAGGTAACAAGGAGGAAGTAGCTCACGATTACACCTGCTTCTTCCAAACTCCTGGTAGCTAAGGTTCATGTTTGGCTTGGCTGGGATTTCCGGAAACTCTGATGCCACATTTTACTTGTCATCCTCCTCAAGAAAATGGTTGTTGTCTGCAGTCGTTGTGCATTTCAATAATACACATATCTACTTAAGAACTGGCTGTCTTGGTCATTTAGTTATGGTAGAAAAGGAGTAAGTATAGCCAGACTTCAGAAACCAAACAAAGTCCTTCCACATGCGACATTTGAAATGCTAGCACAGAACTGGTTCTAGATTTTCTTTCATGTAAGTTACTAATGTCAGGAAAATACTCTTTTAGAAAAGAAAATACAGCCCTGGCCAGTTTGGCTCAGCAGTTAGAGCATTGGCCCGCGGACCAGAGAGACCCAGGTTCGGTTCCTGCTAAGGGCACGTACCTCTGTTGCAGCTTGTCCCCTGCCTCAGTTGGGGTCATGTGGGTGGCAGCCAGTTGATGTGTCTTTCTCGCATCGATGTCTCTCTCTCTCTCTCTCTCTCTCTCTCTCTCTCTCTCTCCCGCTCTGTCTGAAGATAAATGCAAAAATGTCCTCGGGTGAGGACAAAAAATAAATAAATGATAAGAAAGAAAGAAAAGAAAATACAGTAACGTATTTGTAGAGCTGATTCATTTTCCCTCACAATGTCATCACACGTTATTTTTATTTTGTTTGCTTCCCCTAATTATTCCCACAGGCGTGAGAAGCTGGGCAGGGCTGTCCACTCACCTACATTCACTAAACTCACAGATTCAGGGAGGCTGTGTTGCAGGCGAAATCAGTGGGCCAGATTTCCCCATTGCTCCTTGGAGTTGGGTTTGCACAATATCATCAGAAAATGAATTTTCTAAGACTCGCACAGGAGAATGAATAGATTTTATTTGCATGAAGTTATATCCCTTGGGTTCCAAAGTCCCAGATCCCTTAACCTAGTTCTGGAAAAGGAGTAGCCGTGGGTTCAGCAAAGCTAGAAGTAGGGCCAGTGTCCAGAGCTGTCTTCCATGTTGCAGCCAGGTCGAGTACAAAATTAGCCCATTAGTCCATTGTGTGGAGTCCACGTGACTGTGGCCCACATGGGTGAATGCATCCAGAGAGCCAGGAGCTTGAGCAAGCAAGAGAGGGAACCAAGAGGCAAGAGAGAAAGGGAAAATCCTTTGTTCAGAAGTTTAAATATTTAGGTTTTGTGTCCGTGCAGTGGCCACGCCTATTCTGGTCACTAACTTGTTCCCAGGTGTGACACACAGGTAAGTACCTTCCCGTGTCATTCAGACTTTACTGGGCATGGGTCCAAATTGCCTTTGTCTGGTCCCTTCCCCCATCAGTCTGGGGAATAGGCCTGGAGAGTGTGCGCCTGCAGCCTGCTGGCAAAGCTGTGTAATGGCATGCCCGCGCCTGGTCTTCCCTCCACTCCTTTCCTGTTAAATAGTAACCGGACTATTACTACGGTATCCGTTGTCAGGGGTGGATCTGGGACTAGATCTCACATTTTGAGAAGACATTTATATTATCATATTCTTCCTTTCAAGTGTATGCTTATTTGGGGTTTAGTTTCAGGACACCAGAACAGCAGACAAAATATCATTCTAAATATTCAACATATGCACTTCAACGCTTCTTGAAACTACCAAAACAGTGAAAAGTCATGGAGTTCCACCGAAGGTAAAGGGGACCACGTCAGCATTGGGCTAGAGGAGAATGCCAAATGCCAACAGAAGATTTCCCAGTTACACGTCGGTATGCCTGACGTGTTCGCCACAATGAAGAGGTCTCTGGGTGAGCACAGCTTCTCATCATTATTAATTTGACAGAAACGAGTCCAGAGCAGGTGCTCCTGTGCTAACGATGGGGTCACTTCCAGAGAGATCCACTGCAAGATGAAAATATTCTAAGTCGGAAATTCGTTTACTACACCTAACCTACTGAACAGCATAGCTTAGCCCAGCCTACCTCCCAGGTGCTCAGAATACAATAAACAAATGAGAAACCTGGCCACGTGCCCACGGAAGAGGATGGGGTGTTCACCCCAGTGACTGGACTGCTGCACTCGCTGCCCTGGTCCAGCATCACGAGGGAGCATCCTACCAATCACTGCTAGCCCGGGAAGTACTCAGTTCAAAACTGGAAGTATGGTTTCTGCTGAATGTGAATCACTTTCACATCATCATAAAGTCTAAGAATCCTAAGTCGGATCACCAGAAGTCAGGGACCTCTGTACTTTTTAAAGGGGGAGGGGGTGGTGAGGAGTAAATTAGCATTTTGTAACTCTCTACCCCCACCCCACTCTCATTTTTTAAATGATTGAAATTTCAAAAACTTGAAATTCCTTTTTTCTGTGATTTGATTAGAACACAATCAGGTTTGCTTTTCTATGTTGAACTAAAGATTTCAAATTACCACAAATGATTTGCGTCCCCCCAGGGAATACAAGGAAGCAGTTCAGGCAATTAAACTCTACTTTCTACTTCTCACTAACCTTCCACCCCAGCAGGCAGAAAATCACCTCTCCTACCTCTGAATCAGCAGATGGTGTGAAATCGCCCCGGGGGAAATGTCTCCTTCTCCCTTGCAATCTCCACTTCCTGTTGCTCCATTAAAGCTGAATTCTTCTCAAAGACACTTTGACTTTCCCAATTAGGCCATTGACTTACCTACCCACCCACTGAATCATAAGCATATAAGATTTTATCTTTTAGCGCTTCTTGTTTTTTTAATCCTCACTTCAGGATATTTTTTTCATTGATTTTTAGATACTGTGGGAAGGGGAAAGGGAGAGAGGGAGACAGAGACAGAGACAGATGTGAGAGACCCATTGATTGGCTGCCTCCCAAAGGACCCAGACCTGGGCCAAGGATGGAAGCTGCAACTGAGGTGTGTGCCCTTCACCAGTAATCGAACCCAAAACTCTTAGGTCCTAGGGCCAGTGCCCTAACCACTGAACCAGATCGGCCAGGGCTCTTTTAGTGCTTCTGATTACAGGAACATGTTTCCTCAGAATTTCAAACTTGCAAAAGCACATCAGAATTTGTAAACTAATGTTATAATGGCAGAAATAGAAGGAAATGTCTAGCTTCACCCAAGATATACTCAGACTCTGTTAAACTATCCCGCCACCAATCTCTACTACAGAAAGAAGTTTTGCAAGCCACAAAGGATTTACTTATGCTCACATAGAATTTCTTGAAAATTTGGGTTTGAACAGTTACCATTTACTCCCCTAAAATTCAAATGTTCGCTTTAAACCGCTTAATAGAATTTGGATAAATAAGAAAACAGTCATCTAAACTCCCAAATAGCAATGTTTTAATCATTATCCAGCTCATTTCAAGGCCAAAGTCGGCATTATTTGTAGATTTGCATATGTTTACATAGAATCTATTTGAAATTTGCTGCTTATGGCTTTTAATTAGTATCTTTGATTGACAATTCACAGAGCTCTCAAAAACACTACCCTGACCTTTCTCTTTTCAAATGTAACAACTGCAAGATGATTCTGTCTCAGGCAATCCAAGGACCAGAATACAATGGACACCACACTGGCTGCTAGTGCGTCCCCTAGTGGAGCACCAGGCGTATCAAGACTTTTCTATGGGCAATTCTGCTACAGGCCTTACAAATCTGACATCATTTCATCTTTCTACAGCCATTCAAGATAAATGATCTTTCCATAGGTATTTTAGCAATAAATAAAACTGATGCTTAAAGCGATGTAATATTTAGGCCCAGATCACACAACTAAGAAACTGTGACACGGAGTTTCAGTTCTGGGTGGCTCGCCTCCAGAGCCTGTGTTTCTCTGTGGAACTCCCTTCCAGCTAACCAGCCACCCACTTCTCTGTGGTCAGCGGGCATCATTCTCTTCGCTGTTCTATTGCACGTCTCAGCTTTACATAACTATGACTTCTATGACATGTAATTCAGTTCTTCCTGTGTAGCTTTCTATTTCCGAGTAATTTTAACTTAATCAAAAGTTGATTCTTCAAATAGTGATTCAATCAGCATCCAGAATTAAGTTATCGTTTCCGGTAAGAGTCCAGGGTTTGGAAACTAGACCCTTCTAAGAACGTCACCGAATTTGGCTTTCTATCACGTATGGAATGTTGCGCATAATCCTCTTTTCTTATTTATTTTTTTAAAATGTTTTACTGTCTGTGCCCATTGATAAAAATGAGCAACTTACTAATTTGGAGACTGTACAGAAAACTCCTATTTGAGAAATGCTACTAATAATCAAATACAGAAAGAAGACTCAGTGTGACCACCAATGGGCAGCTAAACTCATAACACTGAGAGTAACAGCTGCTAACACTGTACAGTCTATGAACACAATGTGTACACCCAACACTCACACATCGCTCCATGAGGATAACTGGGTTATAATTCAGCACGTTATCACTAAGGAAGGAGAATTTCTAATATTAAAAATCCATACAGCAATTGGGTTTTCATCTGTAATTGTCTGTTTCCCATACAGTCCAATTTCTATTTTACCAACAAGGTAGACTTTCTTTGTCTATTTTAAAAGATTAGCCACCGTGGCTATTGACCAATGGAAAACTGTAACGTCATATCACACATCACTCCAAATACTTATCCTTTTCACTATTTCCAACACAAAATTGGCGAGGACCTATAAGCAACAAGAACAGGATATGGGAAACAGGTCCCAACACATGAAAAGCCTGAAGAAACTTTGTCTCCGACCATTTTTGTGAACTCTGTTTCGTAGTCATGCCCATCATACTCACTTAAGCCCACAGCTGTAATGAGCTTGATTGCAAGTTCAGGGATTTCACAATGAATGAAAAACGGCTCCAGAATGTAGCGTCCAAATGCCAGAGATATCACAGCGGTGGCTGCAGGGCTAGGAAACACATAGACTTCAGTTACTACAGAAACAAATAGCATCTTCAATACACTTTTTCTGCCATGAGGCTTTTTGTTTTTTGGGTTTTTTCTATCACCCAATGATATTTTTTCATTTATTTCCAGAGAGAGTGGAAGGGAGCGAGAAAGAGGAAGAGAGAAACATCAGTGTGAGAGAGATGCATCACTGGTTGCCTCTGCATGACCCTGACCCTGACCCTGACCCAGGCCAGGGATCCATGCAACCCTGGTACCTGCCCTTCAGTGCGCTGGCTGACACTTTAGCTACTGAGCCACACCTGCCAGGGCCCATGAGGGTTTTTTTCTTTAATTATTTTTTTCTTTATTTCTTTAGAGAGAGAGGAAGGGAGAGGGAGAGAGAGAGAGAAACATCGAGGAGAGAGAACATCGATTGACCGCCTCCTGCATGCCCCCCACTGGGGATCAGGCCCACAACCTGGGCATGTGCCCTGACCAGGAATCGAACCGGTGACCTCTTGGTGCATGCGTCAACGCTCAACCACTGAGCCACACCAGTGGGGCCCATGAGGTATTTTTATTCCTCATATGGAACATGTTAAATATAAAAGTCTATAATTGTCAGAACTCCATATTTGATTGGGCTGTCACCAACATTTCAAATGAAACATTGTCTATAACTCTGGTGGATGGTTTTACACTAAACCTCCTTGGGGGACAAGGCTGGGTGCTATCAGTTTTGCCTCTGTTCTCCCATATTGGCCTTTTTTTCTTCTTAAAAGTCTGGGTTATTCTTGAGACCCTGCCAGAGCCGAGCTTACATGAAGCACTCGTCTTTCCCACTAAGTCAACAGTGAAATACCAGCCCCAGTAGAAGGTGCTAACATCGCAGACCTGATGGGATGGGCACAGTCAGGAAAATGAACACAACACTCAACAAAAAAATGAGTGCGTGTTCGCTGCAAATATATGCTTGACCCTATTATTATTTTTCCAGGACAGACGAAAACTGGAAGAGCCAAGCGATTACCCTTAATTCCATGGAAATATTTAGATGCAAAGAATAAGCTGAAAAATAGAAGTACTCTTGTAATTTTACACAAGTGAGAAAATAAGTTCAGGTATACAGCAAAATAGGTAACACGCCATTTCACTTTAATTCTTCAGGTATTTCTAAAAATTACACATCATTTTAGTTTCAATGCATATATATGCATGAATGCATATTCTTTGGATACACACACAAGCCCCTGGGATTACCTAATGTCTCAGGCGGTCTTCTTTTCCAGCTTCTCTCATTTCTCATGGTTGCCTCCCACCCACAGCCAATCCCTAGACTGTCAGAAAACCAACCATCACGTGCTCGGACCTGGCCTGCTGGCACCAGACAGCGCTGTAGGATTTCTTGACATTCTTCTCTTGCTGGAGACCCCCCTCCTCTTCTAAAACAAGACTATTTTTCCTGTTCTCCATCATCTGTAAATCTTTTCATGGGTAAATTAAGATCTGATCATGTCATTTTAGTGCTTTCCAAGCATGCTCAGGATAGGCAAATACCCTTCCGTTCCCGGCTCCATCTAGTGTAATACTTCCCCTCCTCTTCAGTTTGCTTCTTCCCCCGTGAAGGATCTCACCACCCTTTGCCTGGAGCCCTGTAAGCGACGGTTCTTTATACCTCCGGTCTGCTTCCATCCCCCTTTGCCCGAGAAGCTGAGCTCTCCCGGGTACACTCTCAGCGCACGCCGCGGCTTCCTCTTCACAGTGTTTATCATCGTAGCAACTTTACATGCACGCATGTGATTTCTTGATGATTTGCCTCACTTGACCCTGAGTTCCGTGAGTACAAGACTGTGTCCATCTTAACCACTATTTTATCCCCACTGTTCAGTATCATGTCTATCACGCAGTAGAAACCCAATAAATACTGAATATGTGGTGAATTTGTGAATTCAACCTGATGGCCCCTGCTTTGTACTGATGGGTGGTATTTCTTTCCTAGAACTCTATGTTTCGCAGATGGTTTCTGGCAGTTTTAACAAGGAACCAGAATACAGACATCTAAAATATTGAGTAAGAATACAAGATAGCATGTTCGGTATCAAAGGAGAAGCAGAGACTGCATGTTTCAGAAGAATTAGAGAGGAAAGAAACACCATAAACTAGGGTGAACAGAAAATTAACTGTGAAAAAGAATTTAAGTTGACCTTTGAAGAGTAAGATTCAGATCATCAGAAAAGAGTGGAAGGCCCTTCCCGGCATAATCCCAGAGTTTAGAAAAGGAATAAAGTACTTCTTTATCATCATTTTATTATAACATGTTTTAAATAATGCAGAGTTGTTTAAAATGAGAACAGACTGCCCGGTTGGTGTGGCTCAGTGCTTGAGCGTCAACCCATGCACCAAGAGGTCACCAGTTCAATTCCCGGTCAGGGCACATGCCCCGGTTGTGGGCCAAATCCCCAGTAGGGGGCATGCAGGAGGTGGCCAATCAATGTTCTCTCTCATCATTGTTTCTCTCTCTCTCTCCCTCTCCCTTCCTCTTTCTCTCAAAATCAATAAAGAAAAATAAATAATAGATAAATGAATAAAATGAGAACAGACTTAGCAAAGAAATAAATTCTACTCTGATGATCTTTGTTAGAAAAGGGACTCGTAGGACTATACAAATCAAGATTAGTGTTAAGTCAATGCTCATTAGCTCTGTCTTACCCATTACCCACAAATGATAGGCAAATGCTCATGAGTTCTCAGCTGTGTATTGCTTGTAAGTTTACAGAAAGAACAAGCTTTCCTAGTTATTTTCGTTCAACTCTGTAGTCAGAATGTGCAAGGCATGTTTTCTAAAAGCAGTTAAACTTCAGGAGCTGCGACATGCGACAGTCTCCTAGGACACTGTAAGTTTACCATGACGTTGACGGGAACATGCTAGTCAGAGGGATTTAGCACAGCTGGGTCCGATTCTAAATCAAGAGTCTTGGGAAGAAGAACACAGCGCTACAACACTAAAATCAAAAAAGATTTTCCAGCCCCGGCTGGTTTGGCTCAGCGGTTAGAGCGTCGGCCTGCGGTTCCGAGACTCAGGTTCAGTTCCCACTAAGGGCATGTACCTCGGTTGCAGTTTGTCCCCGGCCCTGGTTGGGTCGTGTGGGTGGCAGCCACTCGATGTGTCCCTTTCACATCGATGTTTCTCTCTCTCTCTCTCTCTCTCTCTCTCTCCCTCTCTCTCCTTCCCACTCTATCTGGAAAAAAAAAAAAATTTACAACTGTAGTCCACCAATTTTTTTGAATGTGAGTCATGTATGTCAAGTCATGTCCTATTTCTTCGTCAAGTATCACCCTTGTAATATGAAGTTGTGAAGAAGCCCAGAAGGCTCCTAGTCACAAAACTGAGTCAATTAAATGCCTTAGTGGTGTAATCCACAAGAATAAAAACTTCAGTTCCTAGCACAGCACTTCGTTTTGTCTGGCCAATCACCAGGTAGGATTTATAAAGGTGCATTTTGATGCTTCATAGCCTTTCAGATTAACATCTTTCCTAAAAATATCATCGGGAATAAGAGAAGATTAAAGAAAAGCAGCTATTAAAAAGTTTGGCATGGTTGGCAAACTACTGCTTGTGGCAAAACTGCATTAAAAACATTGATTGAGAAAGGTTTGTGTGACTTTGTGTCCCGAAGTAGACATATGTATAGCATAGTCACAATGACATGCTTATTTTAATTAGTTTAAAATAATCATGGTAATTCAAAGACGGGTGTAATGAGTAGGTGTATTTCTCCTCGAATTTTTTCTGTCTATGCACTTACCGGATAACGAGCAGCTCCACCCACACTCGTACAAAAGCTGGTAACGGGCCGAAGACTTCCAGAATGTATGTGTAATGACCACCAGATTTCTTTATACTCGTTCCCAGTTCAGCATAGGACATGGCTCCTGCGAAATATTTAAAATAAAAAGGTACGAAGATAAATATCACCAAGTCATCCTGCAGTAGAATTGATACAGCAATGTTTATATTTCATGGGATATCGCTACATCCTTTGGTCTAAATGACACCCTTATGTCAAGACAAATAACGGTCATCTAACTAGCAAGAGTCATCAAATTCTTCCTGTAACTTTCTTAAATTTGAGATCTAGTTCATTCTATTCAAACAATGTAAGTTTACTTGAAATGGTAAAGACAAACTTCTAAAACAATATCATATTATTAAGAATTCTGAATCTCTCCCTGGCCGGTTTGGCTCAGCAGTTAGAGCGTCGGCCTGCGGTCCGGAGCGACCCGGGTTCGGTTCCCGCTAAGGGCACGTACTTCGGTTGCAGTTTGTCCCCGGCCCTGGTTGGTCGTGCGGGTGGCAGCCACTCGATGTGTCCCTTTCACATCGATGTCTCTCTCTCTCTCTCTCTCTCTTCCTCTCTCTCCCTCCCACTCTATCTGTACAAAAAATGGAGAAATGTCCTCGGGTGAGGATTAAAAAAAAAAAAAAAAAAAGAATTCTGAATCTCAAACCTGGGAACAAGGGCAAAAGAGGAGACAGACGCATAAAACTAACCTATATTGAGAACATATAACTACGCCAAGATAAGAAAAGCCCCAAAGTGACCTCATCATACTGAGAATACTTTTAATAAGTATTTCTGTGGTACATAAAAATTAAGAATATTTATCTGGCCCTGGCCAGGTAGCTCATTGATTAGAATGCTGTTCCCATGTGCCAAGGTTGGGAGTTTGATCCCAGGTCAGGGCACATAGAGGAATTGACCAATAAATGCATAAATAAGTAGAACAACAAATTGATGTTTCTCCTCTCTCTCTCTCTCTCTTTCTCTCTCTCTCAAATCAATAAGTAATAACAGCAAAAATTATGTTTTTCAGAAAAGTATGAACTCTAGATCTTAAAAAGCTTCACTTATTTTGTAGGACATATTTTGTGTGCAAAAAAATGAATTTTAACTCAGATATTTTATTTCTGGAAAATATTTTCTTGGATTTTTAAAAGTATATACTTCTGGGTGGGTGAAATAACATACTTTAAAAAAAGAGATACTATAAGTTATATTTATTACATTAGGTAAAATTCATTTTAAACCAAATTTTAACATTTAGCAATACAATTCACATGGACTTGAGTAAGTCATGTAACCTCCCAAAACTTCAGCTTCATTTTTTGTGTATCAGTATGATAATGGGTAAGTACTGGCCCTGATACTTGGAATGAGCACCTCATGAAATACAGTTATACCGATTAATTTGAATAATTACTTATCAAGAAAATGGAAAATATATCTTGATATTATGTGAAAAGTTCTACCATGTTGCTATCAAATGTAACACTTTTTTTTTCTTTTACCCTTATTGATTTAGAGAGAGAGGAAGGGAGAGGGAGATAGAAGCATCGATGAGAGAGAACATTAATTGGCCGCCTCCTGCATGCTCCCCACTAGGGATCAGGTCCACAACTTGAGCATGTGTCCTGACTGGGAATCGAACCCATGACCTCTTGGTGCATGATTCGACACCCAACCACTGAGCCACACCGGCCGGACATAATACACAATTTTTGCTGAGCTACTTCAGAGACTAAAAGTGTGGGAAATTGTCACTGGTCAGCAAGACTTCAGGTAGAACAGTCCAACTTGAATAGAATTTGGATACTCAACGAAATCTTGGTATCACTTATCCTATCCTGGAGCCAGCATTTTATCTGAGCCATCTAGGAAGAACATTTTACTTAAAAATAAACAAAAAGCCAGATGCTAGGGCCATACCCCAGATCCACACTCTAACCAAGAAGTCTAGACTCTCCAATAGAGGGATCCAAGATAATGTATTGTTTTAAAATTTGCATAGATGATTCTAGTAACTAGTAAAGTAACTAGTCTGCAGATTGATATTTGGAGATCGCTATTACAGTTTGCCTATTTATGACTAATTATAGCTATCTGCAGTTCACTCTCTGTTGGACACCAGTTGCCATGTTGGTAGGCTGTGCAGAAAAGCATCCAATATAAAAAGTTATTGGAAAAAGTCTTAAATACCTCAGTATTTGTTGCCAGAGAATCAATACCTAGACCTGTGCATGCTTTGCAGAAACTCCAGGGTGGTTGCCCTAGGTTTAAATTGAGTTCTGGAGGAATGAGATTTTCATTTAAATGTCTCAAGCTCCATAACTATTTTACCCAGATGAAATAAGTTCAAAACAGGATATAAAAATCCATGTATTGACCCTGCCTTTAAAAAAGAATGGTAAACCAAATATATAGATTCTTTACTTTTAGTTTCAGAGTTTTAAAAGAAAGGATATTTTTTTCCCTTACATTTTGCTTTGCTTCCTGCTAGGAAGGCCCTCATGACAAAAAGCCTCCAGTAACTTTAGTGACAAATGCCATGCAAATACTGATAAGTGGATACATACAGAGACACACCCCTTGCGATTAATAATCAAAGAATACCAACTCAAGTGTAGCTTTAGTTAGTTCCTTTAGTATTTTCCCCCTGAGCTTGAGATGCTGTACTTTTCCAGAAGCATATTCTCATAGTACAAGTCAACTTCCCTTTAACTAGTTCAATCCTCAATGCAATCCATTTCATTCTATCTCAATAAGCTGTGATGGTGTACGTAGTAGGAGCTACACGCGCATAGTATGTGAAGTCCAGGGAAGTGGTTATGGTTTTCCCTATTAGACACTGATGTATTCTGAATATACCCAGTGTTATACAAGATTTCAGGCTGAGGGTGCACGAAGTCATTTAAGATGATCAACAATTAGGTTTCTCTTTGTCTATAAATGTACGTGCCAGACCGTATGAATACCACAAACCCTTTTTAAAAATCTAAAAATTATTCCTCCACGGATTTTTTTGCACTAAGGCTTTGGTTTAACAAGTTTGATTTAAAATACTTTCTTCCTTTAAAATAAATAAATAAATAAAACACCTTGTCACTAATAATAGAAATTCGAGTTCTCTACATGAATGCTCAACCCAATGCATTAAAGCATCACGAGGCCTTAAGAATGAATGGACTGATCTGTGCAGAGCCACGAGTTAGAACTTGGCCTTGAGTTAAAACAAAGAGTTAGCATCTTTAGAGAGCGGTATCTTTTGAAATCAAAACACAATGCCCGAGAAAAGCAAGTATATCTTCAACATTTACCCCACAGCAAAAATGAAATTTATTTTTTTTGAACCATTCAACAGTTTTTGTCACCTTTACAACTAACTCATGTAGCTTTCTAGTAATTTGTTCACCTCATGAGGGGACATTTATTACCTCTTTACTATGAACTGTCAAATCAATAGAAGAAATCTCAATCTTGAAGGAAAATTAATAACCACATTTCTTCCAGTAGTTCTGTGCGGTGAACAGGTAGACAAATGGTCTGTGTCTCCCGAGAACAAGCAGACTATAAATGAGGAAAACAGATCTGGACAAGCAAGCGAAGGAACACCCGATGCCAGTTTTACAATTTATATTGCAAAAGTTCACAGGGACTGGGGAGAGAGGAAAGGTTAAAAACACCTGAAGTATGCTCAGACCCCTGCAACACACCACCTGTGACAGCGACTAATCATGTTCCCTCACACATCTCCCCACCTGGAGGACTTCGGAAAGAATCCCAGCAACTGACAAGCACGTGAAGTTAAACACTTAAAAAGGAGATGACTGCCACCGGTTTGTTTGTCAATTAAAAAAAAAAACAAAAAAAAAAAACAGTAAAACTTCTGCTGAACACCCAGTTCCGTGTCTAAACAGGCCAGGAGCCGGGTTGCACTTTCCAGGTGCCTCAGCTCCAGCTGCCGGGACGCCCCAACCACACGCACGGAGCACAGCCCCGGACAGCAAGCGGCAGGTATTTCGCTGGGGCATCAGAGCCGGTCATCAAAGCCGGTCATCAAAGCCAGCCTGTGCTCTGTTGGCGGCGCAGGGAGAAGTCAGGATAGGTCTGCCTCAGGAAAAGCCAGCGCAGCCGGCAGGAAGAGGTCTGAAGGCTTCAGGGCACCCAGCAGTGTTTGGGTGGTTTGCGTTCCTAAAGCAAAGTCAGAAAACAGGGGGGTGGCCCTGGCCACTTCATTCACTGCTTCACAGTCACCCTCTGCCTGCCCAGAGAGCGACCTGCCCAGCCAGACACCCGCCCTGAGAAGAAGGTGCACTCACCAAACAGGGACAGGACCCCACAGACGGTCCACACAATCAGAGACATGCCCACGCTGCCCGTGTTCTGGAGCACACCCTTGGGCGAGATGAAGATTCCCGATCCAATGATGGTGCCAATGATGATGGAGATGCCCCTCAGCAAAGTGATTTTCTTCTTCAGCACCACTGCCCCGTGCCCAGGGGGCTCCTTGCCACCCAGGGAAGGCAGCCTCTCGTTTACAGTCCCCGGCAGGTAACCTCCATCGGAGGTGGTGGACACGACAGGCTTTCTGCCCATTGCAGTGACACGCGTGGGGAAAATGAAACAGAGGGGGAAAAACAAAAAAAAAAACAACAACAAAAAACAAAAACCTGAAAACTTTCAACTTGGGTGTCTCTTGGTGTGAGTGACTAATCTCTTTCTTTCTGCTCTCAGACTGTCTCTCAGTGCTATTGTGTTTACAGGTAAAAACTCAGAGATGTGTTTCCTCCTTCACAGCTATCTGATTACTCCTGGGGAACACCTGTGTGTTCTGGGGACTCCGGCTCCCCCATCTCCCTCTGTGCTGTGGCCGCCTCGGCTGCTCTATTCTTACAGACCATCTCGGCTTCCTGATGGGCTGGTATTTAAGCTCCTGCCTGTCACACCAACTTACTCCAGCTAAATGATGATGCAAATTCTCCAGGTTTGCATCAGCCACATGAGAAGGCTCCAGCATGACTCAGCTCTTTTTTCTTTTTTCTTTTTTTTTAACAGTAGCAGCATGTTGCTCAACTGACCTAAGCTTCTCAGAGAACAAAGAAAAGCTGACACTTAAAAGGGGTCTTAGCCAATCCAGAAGTCAGTCGTAAATGCAGAACAGACCTTCCCAGAGATTTAAAGCAACTCCCAGCCAGGGACCAAAGCTCTTGACCCAAGAAAGTGGAAAACGAAACAGGAAATGATCACAGCACTGTAGAGTTCCTTTTTTCCTTTACACAGAACTGTTTCAATAATAGAATGGAACTCAGAACTGCATTGTTTATAAAACAAAATTTAGATTTCATAATCTGTTTCCTGCTTATTTTATTTTATTTGGGGGCAGGGTTTCCTAGCAACACAATCAAATCTAATATTTACAAAGCTAGAATGATTCTGTATTAGTCGTTGTCATGCACGTAATAATTGTGAGCCTTACTCAACATTAAAAGATAAAAAATTATTCTTACTGCCAATAATAGACCAGTATTTAAAATCACTCTCTGAGTATGACAAGTTTTAAAAGCACAATGATCCTAGAAAATTGTCAATTTCTGTTTCTCATTAGCACTGGGTGATCTCCTAAACTAAATAAAAGATATATATTTTTCATTTACATGTTGATCCATTGAATTACTAAAATAACTAATTTAAAAACTGAACAATAATACTATGACATAAAAACATGCACATAACAAAAGCTTGAAAAGGAATACACAGAATAATAATTTGGAAGGTAATGATATCATGCATGATTTTCTTTTCTAAAGTCTGTGAACTATTTTTATATTATGATTATAAATTTAAAATGAATTAGAAACATTATCAAAGTTTAAATTGTTTACTTTGAAACAGTAAGAAGGGCAAACCATTTTTAAACTCTACTAACTTTCTTAATCATGTCCATAAAACAAACACCAAAAGAAAAGAAATCCCAGATACCATCTCTGGCTGTGGTTTAGGTGGTCTGGGTTCACTGAGAACTGGACATTGACTTTCCCCTGAAGCTACATGTACGCACACTATTAAATATGCTTCTGAACGTCTAAACAAAAACGCCAGGTGGGGTGGGGAGAGGTCAGGACACCACAGCAGAGAAAGGCCACTGCGAAAGCAGCCTGTGGGCCAGAACGACTTTATGTTGGCACCTGAGAAAGTTATACCACATTGATACTCTACCATCCAAATAACTGAGGCTGCAACTTTACCTTTTATATTGTCTACCTAGCCCTACACAATCTGCTTTGGGTAGACCAAGTCTGAGTTTTTCTACAGTCAAAATAAATACTTTTATCCAGATGTTGTATCTTTTGAAAAACAGAAATGGGTAGTTTTTCTCATTTGATCTTGTTGAAAGTTCCTAAAAAAAGAAAAGCAAAGGCAGAGTCTTCTTTTGTTTCTCCTCCTCCTCCTCCTCTTCCACGTCCTTCCACTCACACAATTCTCCTGATGGATGAACATAATGGAGCGAAGAGAGGCCTGTTTCCCCAAAGTGGGAACATATCAGCTCTGAAGAAGGACAGATTAGAAGGGGAACAGTCAGCATCCCAGGGAACAGTGTTCCACCTCTAACGAGCACAGAGCACACTGTAATTTTACATGTTGTGCTAAATGACTGAACTAATAAATTGAGACCAAGACCTCACTCAGACAGGAAGTTAGATAAATTCTGAAAGAGGAAAAAGATGATCTTTCAATATCAAATAACATTTTCCTCCTTTACACGATTTTTTTAAAAATTAATAAAGAAAAATCACTAAATGTTTCACTTACGGCCAAAAAGAGTGGACGATCAGAGAAGATGGAGTCACACTAAAAAATTCTGCAGAGTGGCAGTAGTCACCAAAGACACCAGTTGACCTCTCCTAATCACCTGGATACTGGCAGAAAACGCAGGTTACAAAGTATGTGTCGAGCTATTTTCAGTGTTAACAAACCCTAATTGTCAGCAGTCTAAACATATAAACTAAGAATTTGGATGGTCTTCAAATATGTGTGTATCATAAAAATGAGTTCCAAGCAAATGCATTTATATTCCTCCTCCTGCTTTAGGCCTTATTTTATTTTATTTATCTTTTAAATCCTCACCCGAGGATATTTTTCCATTTATCTTCAGACAGAATGGGAGGAGGGGAGAGAGAGAGAGAGATCAATGTGAGATATATCAAATGATTGCCTCCCACCTGACCCCCAAACAGGGCTGGGGACCAAACCGCAACTGAGGTACTTGCCCTTGACCAGAATCAAACCCGAGACTCGTTGGTCCATGGCCGATGCTCTAACCACTGAGCCAAACCGGTCAGGGCTAGGCCTTATTTTAAATACTCCTATCAACTTAGAAGACTACGCTACTGCTATTTGCAAGTGTTTATTTAGTGCCTACTGTGTACAAGGAATAGCCCCAGCTCCCTAAACACATCTCATGGAAGAAACAGATGTAAAATGCTATGGTAGCTCCCCCTTCGTGCTAAATTATTTCTATCCAATGATTATAAATATGGGCATATACTGATCTGACCCCAAAGAATCATCTCCCCAGCAGCAGGACATAGGAATATGACCTGAGCTGGGATATTTCGGAACGGAACGAGATTTGTCTTTTCTCACCTGCTGGAAGTTGTACAATGTCGTTAGAGTAGGCAGATGAGAAGATACGAGCTGGGAAAGGCAGCCGGGGCTTGGAGGGGATACCTGTGAGCCTCAACAAACCAAAAATCAACCATGGAGGCAGCAGACCCCCATGTGAGGAGAGAACATGGAGAGACCTTTCAGGATGTGGTCTAACCAGTGGCACAAGGAGCCTTAGAGTTTTAAGATACATTTTTTTTTAAGATCTGAGGGAGGGAGTGACTTGCTCCTTGCCTAGGGGTGTGCCAGCCTAGGGGCATAAGTCCTCTGAACTTCCAAATACCAGCGTCGGGCCCTCGGTTTGGTTGCACCGGCTGAGTTGCCCACACAGGTTCTAAGTGTATTTCTCTCCTAGAAAGAAACCCTCACCTGCTTTTGCTGCTTTTTGCTGTCTCTTGTTTGAATTCGTTCCTACAAGCAAGACAAGAACTGGGAGTACAGAGTAGTGTCTCTGGCCAGAGGCCATCTCCGCCCGGACCACCTTGACCACTGATGACAATGTGACTTCAGAACAACTGGGGGCCTTGTCCCCTGTCATGTTGAAAAAATGCCCATGAAAGAAATTGAGACTACGCACAGGTGACAGACTTAGAAGTGCCAGTATCATCAAGCCCTGTTTGAGGTCCTAAGGGACCCAGATTGGCGGTGGATCCTGAGGTTCTTCCTTTGTTTCTAGAAGCTTCCTCATTCCCTTGCTGGGTATGCTACCTTCCCCCACCCCCACCCGAACAGCTGCACGTGGAAGGTAGCGTTCAGTTTAAGTGGAAGGTCATTTAAAGCCCCTAAGCTGGGTTGATAGGATACACGACGGCCATGAGACACCCGTGGTCACCAGCACTTGAAAGGTGGCTGTTTCAAACCAGATATACTGTAAGTGCGAACTATTCACGGGAATTTGATATCTTATTTGTAAAGAAAGGAGAAGAAAGATCTCCTTAATGTTTTTATTATTAATATTAATTCCACCGGTTCGGTTCTGTTTTTTAATGTGGCTACTTAAAAATTAAAATTATAAACGTGTTTCAAATTTGTGACTCACATTATGTTTCTATGGACAGTGCTGATCCAGAAGAAAATGATGTAGTACTCAAGTTGGTGTAAGCAGGCATTTCTTAAAAGGGACAGACAAATTACTAACCATAAAAAAAGGATACATTAGAATATATAAAAAATTAAGAATTTCAGCCCTGGTCAGTGTGGCTCAGTTGGTTGAGCTTCATCTCATGCATCAAAAGGTACTGGTTCAATTCTGGGTCAGGGCACATGCCCAGGTTGGGAGTTGGATCCCTGGTCAGAGTGCACACAAGAGGCAACCCATCAAATATATATAAAGACTTTCAGTTCATCAAATGATGTGACTAGTTTTGCTCAGCGGTTAGAGCATCAGCCCGTGGACCAGAGAGTCCCAGGTTCAGTTCCCACTAAGGGCACGTACCTCGGTTGCAGTTGTGTGGGTAGCAACCACTCCATGTATCTCTCCCACGTCAATGTTTCTCTCTCTTCCTCCCTCTCTCCCTCCCACTCTATCTGAAGATAAATGCAAAAATGCCCTCAGGTGAGGATAACAAAACAAAAAAAGATGTGACTAAGAGTCTGTAAAAGTGAACCATGAAATGGGAGAAGGTATTTACAATTGGCAAAGATCTCATATCAGAATCAATACCAGGAGTGGTAAAAATGTGAAGAACTCCTATATTCTGCTGCTGGGAGTGTTAGTTGTTGTATCTTTATGCAAAATTGTTTGGTAGTATCTACTAAGTTAAATATACACATCACTCCTAGGAATATGCCCAATAAAAATGCAGGGCATTCATGTACCAAAAGACGTGAATGAGAATATTCATATTGGGCATTATTTATAATAGTCAATACTGAAAATAATGCAAATGTCCATAAACAGTAGAATGAATACATGTACCATTGGGTTAATTCAATGAAATACTACTAAACAATAAAAAAGAACAAACAGTAACTATGTACAATAATATGGATGACTCCCACATAATGTTAGAAGACAGAAACAAAAATAACATACTGTATGACTCAATTTACATAAAGTATAAAAGCAAGCAAAACAACTCTGTGGTGTGAGAGCTCTGTTGTCTTTGGAGATGAATGGGTTCTAATAATTGATGGGCACAAAGACAGTTCTAGGGTCCTAGTAATGTACTATTTTACAGCCTGGGTAGTAATTTCAGTGTTCTAACTTTATGATAACTCAGTGGGTGGTGCACTTACATTTTGTACTTTTCTGTATTTATGCAAAAAAAGA